TTCTTTTCCTGGTCAATAACTGCAAGTCTGTCTTCAATACCTGAGATCCTGTTCTCACATTGGTGTAATCTACTTTGAATACTTTGAATGGAATTTTTATTCTCCTGGATATCTGCTTGACTCTGCTTTATGGATTCCATTTCTTTATTATGCTGAGCTTCCATAATTTTCTTAAGCTCACCTGTTTTTTTGTCTGTATCTGTTCTAGCATCACTTAGCATGGTCCTTATTTTGGACACCATCTCTGTAGTTATCTGAGAGATTATTTCTGATTTCAGTTTTTCCAGAGCTTCATTCAACTGCTTTGTTTTTACCACTTCAGAGAGTCCTGGTGGGGACTTCCAGATTGTCCCACCTCATTGCCCCCTGGATTTTCCTTTGGTGAACTGGATGTCTGGGGTTGCATTTTGCTTAAGTTGTCTTCTCATATTATTTTCTCTCTCTTTTTTTAGTTTAATACTTGGGATGATGCTAGTAAGTTTAATTCTTGGGGTGATGTCTATATTGGGTTGCTTTAATACTAGTATTTAGGACCCTTAGGTGATGATTACTTCTCTGGGCTATCTTCCAGGTATAGCTGATTTTTGAGTTTTGAATCTGTTGGAAGGTCTTACCTCTTCAGTTTGTTAGAAATGAGAAGTTGCTGCTTGCTTGGCTTAGGCCCTGGTTCTTTGGCACTGTGCCATGCTATTTTCTGTGACCCTTGGTCATTCTCAGTCATGGAATACCAGGACCAACAGCGCCAGCCAGTGCAGTCCTCTGTGTCCACTGTTTCCCACCACTGCCATGCAGAGGCCGCTGGGGTCGCCAGCCATCACCATCACTGTGACCATGCTTCCTAGGTTCAAAACACTCCTCTTGCCCAGTGAGTTCCATCTCAGGAAGAAGGTGATGCTGGCTACTGCCTTTTTCTTCCTTGAAATTTTATCCTGTGTCTCTGGGCTTCAGTTCACACTTGAGATTCTTCCTGGGTCTAGGGGACCAACTTCCTTCCTTCATGTCTTCCTCCCCATGCTGTATTCAGCATCTGGAAGGTGACTCTCAAAAGAAGCTGCTTTCCCTGCTGCTTACTGCTCTGCCATCTTCCACAAGTCCTCTTTCCTGGCATTGCACCATGCCACCGGGTAGCCACCAGCTTATAAATTGCATATGGATGTGTGTCCATTTTTTTTTTTTTTTTGTCTTTTTCCTTTTTACCGGTACCAGGGATCGAACTCACGACCACCTGCTTGCAAGGCAGGTGCTTATGCCGCTGAGCTAAATCCCCAGCCCCGGATGTGTGTCCATTTTTTCAATAAAAGGTAAAGCAAAGAATATCAACCAGCTTTGAATGTTTGTCCTTGAAAATATTTGGGTTAAAATATTTCTTGGAGTTTATCGAGCCCTCATTGGAAAAAGAGGTTAAACCCCAGCAGATCTATTACAACAAACATAAAACTGTCTCTGGATTTGTTTAGTATGCTGAACAAGACAGAGATCTTAATGAGATTGCTTTAAATAAACCAAACCAAAGATACAGGAAAAATGTCTTAGAAGTATGGTACCCACCTCTCCAGTTGTATGCATTGTATAATGTAAAAGGCTCTGTTCTCCTTTAGTAAAAAAAAACTTTGTGTTTGGATTTTCATTTTGCCTATTACTCTGTTTTAGACATAACAAACAGAAGTTTATTTTACTTTATTTGAGACAATGTCTTGCTCTGTTATCCCAGGTGGTCTCAAATTCTTAGGTTCAAGTGCTCCTGCTTCTGCCTCTCAGGTAGCTGGGTAGTGCCACGACAACTACCTCCAAATAGAAATGTTTTTATTATTTTCAGCATCTTGGAGTTCAGGAACACAATTTAGATTTTTAGTCAGATTTATGGCAAAGTTACCTGGTCCTCATTTTTGTCTTCTTTCCTTTCTTTTTCCTCATACTGGCTATTAAAGTAAGGGCCTTTGCACTGAGCAATATCACTGGCCCATTTTTTTATTTTTCATTTTGAGATAAAATCTCACTAAGTTGCCCAGACTCAGCTCAAATTTGGGATTCTCCTGCCTCTCAAGTTGCTAGGTCACTGGCATGTACCACTAGGCCTGACTTGGATCACAAATTTTAAAGTTCTTGTGTCTTAGCATTTATCTGTTGGCAATTAGATAAAGTAAAATCCATTTAGGAGGGAATGAGGAAATGTCAGGCAACATTTTTGTATTGATCTCATAGGAATAGTGATCATTAGGTAATATTTTAGTACTATATTACTGAGGTGCTATGCAAAATTCATAGTTGAGTACCTTGCAACTATTTATTTCACAACATATCTTAATTTCTCTTCTGATTCCCAGTTATTTGTTCATAGCAAAATTTTACCTAAACGTGAAAATTTTTAAAAATGATTAGAAAAGAAGAAAAAAATGAAACAGCTTTAGTACATAGAGAAAGAAGAGTTGAAGGGAAAGTAGGGAAATGGGAAAAAAAGAGTTATATCATGTACAGGTACAAATTCCCTAAATGAATGTAATCATTACGTATATCTAAAATGTACCAATAAACTGCTAGTGCAGGTGAAAAAAAATTTTTTAAAACTTGAAAATTTTTATACCAAATGTAAACTGTATAAAGTGGAAAGAATATTGAATAGCGAGTTAGAAGAGCCAGGTCCTGGTTCTACTTGTGCCACCACTAGTTTTATAACTTGGATTAAATCACTTGCCCTTCTTAATCTTGGTTTCCTGACCTGGAAAAATTAGTTTGCTCCAAAGTCACCTCCTAATCCAGTGAGTTTATGAACAGGTAAGTTACCATTTTAGAGGCAACTCTCAGAGATTGGATACCTTCCTGAAGAAGCTAATGAGTCAGGGAATTCTTTTGTTTTTTTTTTAAGATACGGTCTCACTATGTAGTTCGGCTGGCCTTGAACTTACTATGTAGCCCTGGCTGGCCTTGAATTCAGCCTCCCAAGTCCTAGGATTACATGTGTACATCTCCATGTCCAGCAGAGTCAGGGAATTAGAATCAAGTGCTGCTCTAAATTCTTATCATCAACAGTCATGTAAAGCCAGGGCTGAGGGCTGAGGCAAGACGATCATAAGTTTGCACCTAGCAACTTAGAGAGACTTCAAAATTTAAAACAAAAAACAAAACCCTTTTAAAGGGCGGTTAGGGGATTGTAGCTCACTGTGAAGGCCCTGAGTTCAATTCCTAGTACTACTCTACTTCCTATCCTATGGTATGAGTGACTTTTACTATTCTCACCATTACATGATTAAAAATTTGAAAAAGACTGGGAATATACCTCAGTGGCGAGCACTTGTCTAACACATGTAAGAAAATTTGAGGACATTACCTACATTAACTGCTAATTATAAGAATTACAGTTGATTATGGTGGAATTGGGATTTCAGCCTGATAAGGCTGCACCAGAGCTTCTGGTTTTTATCCACAACACCAAAAGATTATTTTCTTAATTAAAAAAAAATGTTTTCTTCTTGTGGGTGTTTGTTTTTTGGAGGTTTGGATTGAACAGAGCCTCTAACATCCTCCACTACTGAAGTATACCACCAGGCCACCAAGTGGTTATTGCTGCTGGCTCAGAAAGGGTGACATGTGGTATCAGAGCTCAACTACAACTCATCCTCTGCTGAGAGACTCCTTAATAGAGAAATGGCCAGAAGTAGTCCTAATGGTTTATGTTTATATCAGTGTTCAGGATATCTGGGGATTTTTTTTTTTTTGCTATAGTTATATCAAGACTGCTGCTTTGATGTTAATGAAGTGTTTAGCAGAATATACTGATTCTTCATGCCTTTGGGAAAAGAAAGTCATGCATTTAAAAAATATTGAAACACAAGAATTGTTCTAGACAACTAAGAATATAGCAGTAAGCAAAACAGCAAGAAGTCCCAGATTTCATTTTCTTTCTTTTTTTTTTTTTTGGTCTTTTTCATTTTTACCGGTACCAGGGATGGCAACTCACGACTGCCTGCTTCCAAGGCAGGCGCTTATGTCGCTGAGCTAAATCCCCAGCCCTGAAGTCCCAGATTTCATGAAGGTTATATGCTGTGGGGTGAAGGACAAAAAATTAACCATTAAAATTGCTAAGTGCAACTTGGGGCCTAGCAGTGACTGGTAGCTGTGCACTTATAGGCCTTGGTATTTTCACAAAAAAGTGACCTCATATTGGCTATTTCTGCATCCTTCATACCTATGGAATATATAAACTGTGAGATAATCTTAACTTTTAATATGTATTTGAAAAGATTTTACAAAAATACTTTCATAAAGTTTTTGTAAATAGTGAATCCATATGCTGGGCGTGGTGGCTCACGCCTGTAATCCCAGCACTCAGGAGGCTGAGGTGAGAGGATCATTGTGAGTTCGAGACCAGCCTGGGCTACAAAGTGAGCTCAAGGCCAGCCTGAATTGCATATCGAGACCCCATCTCAAGACAAAAAAAAAAAAATTGAATCCATGTAATATGTATGTATGTGTGTGCATATATATATTTAGAAAGGAAAAGTAGAGAAGGCATTTTATTTATTAGATTTTAAGGAGGCATTATTATGTATACTAGAAATTGTTAAAAGCCCTGGAAAGCAATTTCAAGTTCTTTAAAGTTAGAATTTAGTGCTGAGGGCATAGCTTAATGATAGAGCACTAGTGTAGTATGCATGGGTCCTGTTCAATCTCCAGCACCAAAAAAGAGAAGAAAGACCTCATCTCTGAGGACCTCCAGAATGGGAAGCGTTCCAGAGTTACAAATGACACCCTGCCAGGCATGGTGGCACCTGCCTATGATTCTAGCACTCCAGGAGGCTGAGGCAGGAGGTTCACAAATTCAACCCACCTGGGCAATTTAGTAACTTAACAAACCTTGTCTCAAACTAAGCAAAGAGTTGGGGGTGTAGCTCAGTGCATTCCAGTACCAGTGGGGGTGCGGGGATGAAAGCAGAAGTACTTCACTTTCTCCAATCCTTGCTTTCCCTCTACTTTAAGTGCTTTTTTTCCCCCCCTTTGGACAGATAAAACGCATGAGCACCATCAAGAAGCAGCGGGATAAGCTAATGAAGGAAGGGACGTACACCCCGCCACCTCACCACCTGGGCAAGGGGGAGCCTAGGCCCTGAGTGGGGCAGCTGCCAATGGCTGGAAGAATTGTTTACTGAAAACCTGTCAGATGTATAAAAATAAAGGAATATTCCACCCTGTTTGTTCTATTATTTCATATGTCATATTTTTCCATAATGAGATTCCATCCTGTTTTTTAACTTTGGAAAACTGCCTCTGTCTGTGTTTGTTCTGTGTTGTTTAGGCTGGCCTTGAACTTGCTTATGTAGCCCAGGCTAGCCTCAAATTCATGGCAATCCACATGTCTCAGCCTCCTAAGTATTAGGATTGCAGGCATGCACCACCATAGCTGGCCATGTGAGCTACTTTAAATACATTATTTGAGCCAGGCGTGATGTTGTATGGCTGTAATTTCAGCACTTGGGAAGGCTGAGGCAGGAGAATTCACAAATCAAGCCCAATCTGAACAATTTAGTGAGATCCTGCCTCAAAATTTTAAATTTTTCAGAAGGGAAGGATAAGGCTATAGCTCAGTGACAAGGCCTTGGACTCAATCCCCAGTACACCAAAATAACACTAATAATAACTTACTTAAGAAATTGCAGTGTTCTGAGCACTTGCAATTATGATTTATTTTCCAAATGAACACAAACTAGGGCTAGGAGGAGGAAGCAGTGAAGACAGTGGTTGACTGTTTACTTCTAAAAGTTTGTGAAATCTCAAAAGTTTGTGAAATCTCACTATGTAGCACAGGCTGGCATTGAAACTTGTGATTCTCCTGTCTCAGCTTCCCAAATACTGGAATGACAGATGTGTGCCACCTCATCCAGCCTGTGAAGTCTAAGACTAATAAAGTACCAAGTTCAGATAATTTAATTTTGAAAAAGGAGTACTGTTGTTTCAGTTTGTTAACATATCAGTGATACATTGGTACCTTTTCTTAGTACAGGGAGTTAAATCCAGGCCTCACAGTGAGCGATATCCCGCTTTAGTTTTTTGTTTTGTTTTGTTTTTTGTTTTGAGATGGGGGTCTCATTAATTTACCCAGGCTGAGCTCAGAATTCTGACCTTTCTGCCTCAGCCTATCTAGTAGCTGGGATTACAGGCATGTGCCACCAAGTCCAGCTCCATACTGACTTAAGATACACATGATATCTTAATTTGTGTGTAATCTAATTTGTCTTTTTTCTTACTTGCTGTCATATTAAAGAAATCACTGCCACAACTATTTAGAAGAAAACAAGAGACATGATAGCCACTGTAGATCTCCTGTTGTCTTGGTTTGAAATCTGTGTCACATTGTTTTGCTTCTGATCTGCTTTGTTCTGTTTTGTTATGTTTAGTTTTACCCTTTTAAAAATAAAAACAGAAAGAAATCCCTGCTAAATCCTACTTTGCCCTGTCTGGTTCTCCTACTTCAGCCTCCTGAGTGCGGGGATTATAGGCATGTGCCACCACCCCTGGCTTTGCAGTAAGTTAAGACCAAGGAGTATGAGTTGTGGCTTTGTTCTCTTTGGGGCTATTTTGGTTATTCATGGTCCCTTGAGATGCCATGAACTTTGGGATGAGTGTTTCTACTTCTATGAAATAATCATTAAGATCTGGGTAGGAATTATATTAAATCTCTTGATATTGATACTACTGGCAGCAGTATTAAATATTCCAATCCATGAACATAGAATGACTTTTCATTTATTTGTAATACCTCCTTCAATTGCTTCTAGAAATGTTTTTATACCTTTCATTATACAACCTAATTGTTCTTTTGCACAATGTTATAAATATTGCTTGCTTTTCTTTTTGGGGGGGTAAGGGGTACTGAGAAACTCAGGACATTGCACTTGCCAGGTAGGCACTGTACCACTGAGCTATATGCCTGGCCCTGAGGTTGCTTTCTTATCCAGGTGGTTATTCGTCCTGCAGCATTTTGAGTCATACATGACAGTTTAAATTTAAATATAGGGTTATTCTTAAGAGAAAAAGTACATTGTCTCTTGGAAGGCTAGGATTTGGCATTTGATCAGGACCCTGCTTATTCCTTGTATTACAGGGCAAATCTGTACCCATGCAGCATTTGCTTAAACTAATACAGACACAAGCTGGTGCCCCTCCAGCAAGAAAGGGCGTATGCTGTGGCCTGAGTACACAAAAGCATTTGATGTTTTAAAGTCCAAAATGACAGTGCATGTGTAATTTTGTGAGCTTAGAGAACTCAACTGGAAGTGCCAGAGAGAAAAAGAGAATGTAAATCAAGGCCTGGAATAGGTACATGCCCTTTCAAACAAAGATACCTGTTATTCCTGAACCCTGGGTTGTAGAGTGAAGGGAAACCAAATCCCATTAAATTGTATTTACCCAAAGGTAGAACATGAGTAAAAGATAGTACTGTATTTAACTGTTTGTTAGAAAGCATTGACCTGATGCCTTTACAGAACTACATGTATGGCAGATAGCTGTAAACAGCTCTTGGACAAGAAGCTCTGCCTCTGGTCTGTGTATCTTTGTGCTTTTTTTTTTTTTTTTTTTTTGAGAAAGTAGGTCAGAAATGTTTGAGCTGGTGAAAGAGAATAGACCTGGCTCCTGGAAAGAGCCAGCTGTACTGCCACTGTTCTTTAAGCAGTTTAAACAAGAACCAGCCAAGACATGAGGTAGGGGTGTAACTCAGTAGCAGAGCATATACCCTGGGCCCAATCCCCAGCACAGTGAAAAATAAAGTTTGTGACATGGGTCTTACGTTCTAGGCTGGTCTTGGTTCAACCAATCTGCTCATCTCAGTCTCATGTGCAAGACACATAACAGGTGCATACCACCATGCTTGGTGCATATATATATATATATATATATATATATATATATATATTTTTTTTTTTTTTTTTTTTTTTTTTTTTTTTTGTGGGTACAGGATCTCACTGTGTAGTTCAGGCTGGCCTTAAGCTCACTATTAGTAGTCCAGGCTGGCTTCAAACTTGTGGCAGTCCTGCCTCAGCCTCCTGAGTGTTGGGATTATAGGCATATGCCACTGTGCCTAGCATAAATTTTTTTTAATAGTTAAAAAGCTAGCTGGGTGTGGGGATGTATACACCTGTAGTTCCAGCACTCAGAAGGCTGAGGCAGGTGTATTGCTTCAAATTTAAAAGCAATCTGGGCTACATAGTCCAAGACTAGCCTGAATTACAGAACAAGACCCTGTGGCACAAAAAGAAAACAGGGTTAAGAGGATATTTTAGCTGGGTGTGTGGCCCACATCTGTAGTCCCAAGCTACTTGGAAAGCTAAAGCAGGTGGATTACAAATTTTAAATAGCTGGGGCAGTTTAACTGGCACTCTGGGGGGATGAGGTGGGATGATCACAAGTTCAGGCCAACCTGGAAATTTATCAACTTAGCAAGACACTGTCTCAAGAAACTAAAAATAAAGAGGCAGGGGATGTAATTCAGTGCAAAGGCCCTGGGTTCAAGCCGCAGTACTGCTCTCCCTGCCCCTACGTGTACCTCTCTGACCAGTAGATTGATGTAGAACAGAACAGATTGGGGGACAGGAGAGGCAGCAGTTGGGGAGCCCTTTACAGTTGATTAAAAGCATTAGAGGAAGCCCCAGCACTTGGGAGTCTGAGGCAGGAGAATCACTGTGAGTTCGAGGGCAGCCTGGGTTACAAAGTAAGTTCAAGGCCTGCCTGAACTGCATAGCAAGACTGTCTCAACAGACAAAAAAGGGCCCGGGGTACAGCTCAGCGGCACAGTACCTGCCTGGCAAACACGGTCATAAATTTGATTCCCAGTACAAAAAAAAAAAAAAAAAAAAAAAAACCTGTGGTGACCCATGCAGCTCTTGTTCTTGGGGGAAGGACTGCAAGAGGATGAGAAAACGAGACAAAAGGAGTCAGGTGGAGCCCTTACTCTCCTGATGGGAGAGAAGGAACTGCTCAACCACTGTAGCACATTTATTTGTAACACTTCGTACACTCAGGAAGAAGAATGTCAGTTCTGGCCCCACTGCATAGCAACTGGTTTGCCTGGCTGGCCTGGGCCCCTTGCCTCCTTGGAGCTGGAACAGCTGTTCAGGTGGCTTGCTTTGGGCTGTGTTCTCACGGCTGGCCTTTAGCACCACACATGTCATCAATCTCCAGCTTCAGTGGCTCCCTACATAAAGCTTCAGCAGAAGCAGAGCACAGTCCCAGCTGCTCAGGAGGTTGAGATGGAAAGATCACTTGAGTCCAGGCGTTCAAGACCATCCAGGGCAACATAGAGACCCCATCCCAAAACAAAGCAACAACAACAAGAGGGCAAGTTGCTTGCTCCCTTAAAACAACATTGCCTGTTACCCTGTCCTTCCCTGCACCCAGGTGAATAGCACCCCTATTGCCTGTGCTTTTCTGTTGATTTTGTAGTTGGGCATGGAGCCTGGCTGGCACAGCAGTGTACCACTGAGATACATCCCCAGCACTGGCCGGAGCTCTCGCTTGCTCCCATGCTCTCTTCTCCAGTGCCACTGAGAACTGAACCTGGGGCTTTCACACTGAGCTCTTTTTCATTTGAGTCAGAATCTCACTAATTACCAGGCTAGGCTTGAACTTGCAGTCCTCCTGCCTCGGCCTCCCAGAGTGATAGGATTATAGGCATTGCCAGTGTTCTTGTTTTGTTTTTCAACCCTGAATGCCACAGAGGAAAGCACCAAGTGCTTTGTGCTTGGCAAGAACATTAAAATTTTTCATTGGATTTTTTTTTTTTATTTATTGGGAAAGAGAAATGGGAAATAGGAATAGCTCCTGAGAGACAGGAGGGATCCCAAATGGGCTGCCAGTAAGCTCACTTTTCAAGTGTTTGAGATGCCTGTGATAAGAACAGAAAAATGTAAACCAAACAGTGACACTTTAGGATTTACAGAAACAAAAGTAGTATATGCAAAGTCTTTGGGAACTGAATTGCAGGGAGAATTACCCTGTGGACAAGGGAGCTGGGCAGAGTCCCCCCAGGAGGCAGTGGCTGGTGGTGTGGGGTGGGTGGGACTGTGGCCCAGGGAAGGCTTCGGGCGAGGAGAAAGCACCCAGCATGGAAGGAGAGAAGGGCGGCTACATGGAGCGGCGCAAAAGCAGCTCATCAGTCTGCCTCAGGCCTGCTGCCTCCCCCGAGATTTTGTCCACAAGAGAACTGTGG